CTCCAGAACTGTGAGAAAATATTTTTCTGTTGTTTAAGCCAGTCAGTCTGTTCATTTTGTTATGGCAGCTCTAGCAAAGTAATACAGTAGCAGAACCAGGATTTGGTCCCAGGTCTGACTTCTAAGGCCTTGCATTTAAATATTTAGCTATGCTTCTACAATGCCTTTGGCGAGAAAAGGAGTCTCATATTCTTACACCTTGGTATCCTCATGTGCACCTACTTACATGTATTGTGGCGAGGTTCAAAATGGACACAGAAATGCACTTTGAGCTCGTCCACTCAGCATCTACTTAGTACCTATTGTGCCCAGTGTATTATGGGGATATAAAGGTGAATCATACACAGCTTCCTCTGCTCTCAGGAAAGTCCCTGAACATTTATGCTAATACAAGTTATCATTAACATAAATGTTCTATCCTAGCAGGCAGTGATCATGATGTACTGCATACTGTTCTTAAGTGAGCTCATTTGCCATTTGCCACTGAATTTTCATTATCAATTCAGGCCATATTCGAATAATTCTTAAATATAGAAACTATTTTCCACCCACTCTCTCTTGGAAATGCAGCTCAAAACAAACTTCTTTCATTGTGGGCTTGCAAAAACAGTGGGGAACATTCTGATGAATGGAGAACATATTGTTACTGTAACCTTTCATTACAAATCAAGAGGGGGAAAATGCTCTAAATCATTTCAGTGTTATAAACTATAAGTCACATGGGGAATCAAAGTGATTTATCCCAGTGATAAAGTGATGTCTGGGCTTCAACATCAACAGAATTACTCGTTGTAATCTGTTTGTATTGCCCATTATTGTTTAAGTGCCTAGAAGATACTTAAATCCTTTCAGAATTATTTTGTTCATTTCTAAAAGAAAATCCTTGAACAGAATTAGATTGAAGAGTTGTTATTGATTGAATAATTAATATCAGACTCCAGGCTCCAGTTTACTTTTGATGTAGGTCAGAAGACTCCAGACTCCAAATCTATCCCTTGGCTGTTTTCATTGCTTTTGTCAAGCAAAGTGCCATGAATTTTCCCTTTGCCTATTTTTTACCAGAAAGCAGAAGCCCTGTATCTTGTTCTTTTGATTATATATGACATCATCATCTTTATAAAAGAAATGCTAAGGATACCAAATGACGTCTTGGTTGAAGAGTACTAAATAATATTATTAAGGGTTGCATTTGGCCCCTCTGACCTTGGTCCTCTAGTGTCATACTCATTAATATGTTACATGAGATCGCAAAAGGGACTTAACAGATGCAATTAAAGTTACCAAACAGAAGACCTTAAACAGACAGATTATCCTGGATCCTCCAGGTGAGCCCAGTGTAATCACACAAGTCTGTCAAAGTCAAAGTAGTATGGCGGAAGAAGTCAAAGAGGTTTGAGGTGTCAGAAAAACTCAACTGGCCATTGCTACCTTGAAGATGGAAAGACCCAAATGGAAGGCATAATGAGGAAATGAATTCTGCCAGTGCCCTGAATACTCCTGGAAGTGGATTTTCCTCCAAAGCCTCCAGCAAGAAACGTAGCCATCCCCACACTTTCATTTCAGCTCTGTGAGACCCTGACCAGAGAACCCAGCCACGCTGTGCTAAGCTTCTGACCTGCAGAGCGGTGTGCCAATAAATGCGAAGTGTTCTTTAAGCCTCTAAGTTTGTGGTAATTCGTTAAGGTAGCAATGGAAAACTAATATAGGGATGGGAACAGGTTACTAAAGAAATTCTGTCATTCACATATCGAAGTCACAATTTGCTAATAACATCTCTGCTAGCAATGGGGAACGTGCCTGTGTCCCTTTCCTTCAGGTTGCCTCTGGCCTGTTAGATTCCATCTCTCCCCACCTGTCCCCATACACATCCACACACAGCTTGCTTTCCTGAGTCATACACAGAAAAATTCAAAGTCCACCATTACCAGTTGTCAAGGCATCCCTGTTGATGAATTATTCATGGCACTCATATTTTGTAGATAGGGAAACTCTGATAGGATCTGTGACTTGTACCTTGTCCCAGTTTGATAATTCTGGAATAAAATACTCTGGGACTTACATTTCTGACTTCTTATGGGTTGACATAAAACCTTCTGTGTTCACAGCCATTAATTTGGAAAAGGCAAGAAAATCTGAGCCATATTAATATGAAGCCCAAACTCCTACACAATAGCTTCTCCCGCCTTCTCTATTTCTATTAATGATACCATCTAATACCACCCAGTGTTTTTTGTTTTTTGTTTTCACCACTCAGGCTAGGAGTGTTGGGTCATCTTTGATTCATTGTTCTCTTTGACTACAACCTCTTTCTGTCCCCCTACCCCACCCTGAATTCAGTTAATCACTACATCATGTGGATTCTGCCTCCATACTGTGTATACGTCCAATAAGAACTTCCTAATCCAAACATACTGGCTTGTATCTCCCTTCTCTGCTCCTGCCCAAATATCCTTCCTGAAGTGTTGTGCTGACCCTGTGACTTTCTTGTATGGAAACTTCACTGCCTGTTGAATCTGGTTTATGTTCCTCACTCACTCTCTGGCTTTTGCTTTTAACGTCTAACATCATCGGGCCCTAATCAGCCCTAACTCCCACTCCTGGCAGGGAGTCATTGCCTTACCGAGGTGAATAAACTTTTGCTCCTGGGATTTGCTCGTTTTGTTCACTTGTCTGAAAATGCCCACCTCCTTTGCTCACTCTGTCCAGTCCTCAAAGCCCATCTTAGTGTCTCTCTTTTGTGAAGCAGTTTCTCCTCCTTCCTTTTCCCAGATTTTCCAGTTTTCTTTCTTCTTATCTCTAAACCGGCACATCTTATTCTAAGCATCCTTGTCATTTGTTGAAAAGCTAGGGTGTTAAATGAGTTTTATAGGCTATGGCTTTGTGTTTTTGTTGTGTGCCTACTTAATCATCCATTGCTTTTGGTTGATTAGAAGTAGGTTATACCTGAGATAGCATTTTGTTAGTGTATCTGGATAAGGAAGGGCTGATATTCTGCAACTCAGATGTGTTTAGATGCTGCACTGTCTCCCATTCACAATATTATTTTAAAATGTGAAATTAACTTTGCATGAGCTTAGGACAAGAGATACATGTGGGGGAGTGGGTAGAGAGAGTCAGGGGCAGATGGGTGTGGACAGAGTGTTGGGGAAGAAAAAAAAGACATTGCCAATATGAAAAACATGTAATGCTTGTACGTACAATGTCAAGAAAAATGTGCAATATAAGGTGAAACCTATATAATTTTATGCAAAGTTGAATAAACACATGAACATTGGCCTAAAGGAGGCTCTTTTACTGCCTTCAGAGTAGGTTTTGCAGCTTTGGTTTTCTTGCAGTCTTTCCTTATCTTACCAATCTCTATTTCTTCTCATTTTGTTAATTTTCATCTTAATCTGTTTTCCTTTCATGTCTTTCTGCTGCATGTACCTCAGTTTATATTTTTGAGGTTATTATCGAAGATATCAAAAATTTTCCTGAAATTTCATGCTTGATTCTGCTAGAAATCATTTTCAAAAGTATAGTGTGTTTTTTTTTTCTGAGTTATCTTTATGCTCATTTTCCCCCCATAACTATGAAGTCATTTTTCATAGGTCGTATGTCATTTGTTTATTTATTTTCCCCTTATCTATCTTCAAAGAAGGAACTAATTCTCAAGAAGTTTCTTAGATGAGGACCAAAATTAGTGATTAGTTGAAAGAAATAGTTAAAGTAGGGAACCATAAAAATTTATGTTCATTTTAAATCATTTTGTCTTAATTTAGATCACATAAGTGTATTTTATGCACCAATCTTTAATTGAGACCCCAGGCTCTTTTATGAGTTCCGCTGATTTGTGTCCTCATGTTTGTCTTGCACCAACCCTGTCTCTATCTGAGATTTCTAATTTCTTTTCTTTCAAGTGAAATGGGAGCAAACTGAGTGAAGAATCTCTGAATTTTTATAATTGTTCTATGCTGTTTCACAGTTGTCACACATATCTTGACAGCCGTTCTTTTAGCAACTGTGCAAAGCATCGAGGTTCTTTGGGAGTAACAATTCATTTTATTGGTTTATGTCATATTTAATCACATAATTACAATAACTTATCAAAACACGGTTTAGAATAAAGCATAACAAATCTCACAAGCATCAATTCAATTGGTAACAAAAGTGAGCACAATGTACCAAAGGGTGGCCTAAGAGTCACAAAAGTTCTGTTGTACGGATACTGGGCGGTACTGTTGACAGAAAGGATGGGAAACATCAGGGAATCCACAGAGTCCATTCAATGGAAATTGGTTAAGGGAGCTTCAAACACTGCAGTGATTCTCAAACTTGTGTGCATCAGAATGATCGGGATGGCTGAGTAAAGCACAGATTGTTGGGCCACCACCTAGAGTTTCTGACCTAGTGGGACTGGGGTGGAGCCAAATAGTTTGCTTGCATTTCTAACAAGCTCCCAGGTAATGCTAATTCTGCTGATCCAAGAAACACACTTTGTAAACTACTGAACCACATCCAACATCGATGGCATGGTTGGGGCAGGTCCCTTCAGACATCAGCTTACATAGGGCAAAAAGTCAAGTGTTATTTCTCCATGTGACCCTACTCACCTTGTAGTGGATATTCCTCCCATAACCAGACATTGGGTTTCTATGACTCTTAGTTCTTGGTACTGTGTTGAAATTTTTATTTGGAAGTAGGAGGAGGATGCAATGAGGGCTTTTAAAGTCTCCATGTTCATTGTCTTTTTGCTTTTCTCAAAGAGGGAAAACTACTAGTTAGCTCTTTCAGCCTTGTTGGGCTTGCTGTTTTTAAATCACAAGTCCCCCAGTTTCTTCACAGGAAAAAACAAAGCAAAACAAAAAAAACTTATTTCTGTTTGTTAGAAAACGTGTGTGTGGCAGTCGCTTGCCAGCTGCAGGGTAGGAAGGCAGCAATGTGCGTGTGTCGTCAGCAAGCTGAAGCCCCTGTCTGAGAAGGAAACAGATTAGCTGATTGCTCTGTCATCTCCCTTTCAGAACTGGCTGACAGAGCTGGAGATCTTCGCTATAATCTTCTCAGCTGCCATCCATGACTATGAACATACCGGAACCACCAACAATTTCCACATTCAGACTCGGTGAGGATGTTGAAATTTTTGGAGAAAAGACAAGAGGGGGCAGGGATAGAGTTTTAGAGGTCAGAAAGTTTACTTTTCTTTTGCATGGTTGTGCTATTTTAAGTTTCTGAAAAGATGAACTTATAACCAAGAGATCAGCCTGATCAGTTTCAATCAAGACTTGCAGTTTAAGAAGCCATCTGCTCCTAATTCTCATATTTTGCTCAGATTTAATATGGATATCCTTTTCTTCTCTGTTCTAAAGCTGGCTGGTTTTTACTCTACCTTTTCCTAATAGGACGTGGGGCAGTTTACGTGAAAGCCCAGATTCCACATAAGCCAAATTGATACGGACAGTGCTCATTGGAGTGTGTCTATTGACATTAACAATAATCGAGCCTTCTCCCTCTCTGGTCTCTGGGATTCTGACGAGATACTCTTCCCATCCTCTAATTTCATCCCTGCTCTGTTCAGAGCTTGCAACTCTCTGTGGCATAAGACTTGGGGAGCCAGGTTGTCTCATGTAGGCCACCTTCACCATGGGCAACCTGTGCATCCTTCCTAAGGAACTGCATCGGTAAACACCAACCTCTGCTGGGGATATTAAATATGTGTCCAAGTTTCCCACTCTGAACCCCTGACCTGTAACAGATATCACTAATGATTTTGGTATTTTTGCTTACAAAGAGTGGATTTATTCTTAGTATTCCTCTCACCACAGAATTCCAGGCAAGCAGTACCAGTCAGTTTCCACTTAGGGTGAAACCTTATCTTCCCTCTCCTGGCCTGAGAACTTCTGTCTCTCAAGACAGTGATGTGGACCTGGAGAGAAATGGAAAATATAATTAATTGGGTCTTGATATAGCAATCAAAAGCTAAGATTTAAAAAAAAGTGGTAAGGCAAAGAAAAAATGTATCAGGGAGGGATGGGAGTATTTAACACCAAATAAATACTTGCTGATTTCACTTGAAAAAGCAGGTGCATACTTTAGATAGTTTTGTGTTCATTAAATCAATCCACATGTATTTAATGAACTCAACGCTTAACGATGGGGTACACAAAAGCAGACAATATCATCTGATCTCTGTTCAGAAGGGGAACTTCAGTGGAATGGAAGCAGAAGAAAGGAATTAAGCAGCTCGCTTCAGTTCCTGCCTCCTGCCTCCTCATAGAACATAGTCTCGGCTACCGGGAAGCAGCCTTCTGTGGTTCTGTTCCAAGGTCTTTGATACAGGGAATTCCACAGAGTAGCTCTGTTTAATGTGTCTGTGGGTGGAACCTTTGCTCTGAGGATGAGACTGCGATGAAAGGCACCTGCCGAGGGAGGTGAGGTGGGAGGAACAGCCATGCGTGGATCTTGCCTGGAGACTGGTATCAAAACCAGTCACAACTCAGAGGAAAACAGCTTAATCACAGGAATTGGAAAATAGTTTATTGTCACAAAATACACATCAGTTGGTACCTTACTTACTTAACAGATCTTTCACTTCGGGATTTGCATGTTTTGTGTTATCTCCATAGGTGTGGAAAGTTTCCAGTCGATTAAGTTAAACTTGATTTGGAATGAAATTTAAACATTGACCTTCTACAATAGAACTTTATCCAAAGCAGCTCAGCCTATGTCATCCCTGTTTAGAAAACAAAGCCTGTGACCAGGTCCTTTATCCTTTGATGGGCAAAATGTTAAGCTTAACACTTGGAAGGTGTGCTAGATACCTCCCAAAGTTTGGCCAATGATAGGTGGAAATTATCTTGGTGAGAAGTCCTCATCTTCATCCCAACCCTGCCACTTAGCCCCAATGGGACTCTAGGAAGTCACTTTATAGCACTGGACTAAGCTTCCTTGATAAGAAACGAATCTAAGCTTTCATTACATTAAAGGTATTAAAACAGTGTTCAGCCGTATGTTTGGTGACATTCAGTTATAGAACCATCTTTGAGAAAGTGACTAGCAGCTATCATGTGATCTTTATAGTCTTTACTCTCAATTTTTCACATGTAGCTTTTGCAGGCTATTTACCCACCAGGTGGTATGTGTTCAGAAAATTACAACTAAAATAAATAAACCATTGCATTCATGGAATAAAATAAAAATAAAAAATGAAATTCATTCCAGAAAATATAAGGGAGTTTGATTTGATCCACATTTTAAAAAAATCACCTTTTCCACGGTACCAGTAGTTGGGATCTGGTTATAAAACACATTTCAGAGAGTTCTCAGGCTGGATGTTACATGTTTCACACCCACACGTTGACAGTAAAATGCCCTACATACATCTATTGACAGTTTATAGTGTTAGTTTGAGCTTTTGGCTAATGTAAATAACACGGGGGCAAAGGTAATTTCTAAACACAGGAAAAAGGGATGGTGCATTCTAGCCTGTGAGAGCTTCTGGAAGAAATCTCAGTTGTTAACATCCTAAATAATTTTGCTTGGTGTTCTGTTCAGGTCTGATCCAGCTATTCTGTACAATGATAGATCTGTACTAGAAAATCACCACTTAAGTGCAGCCTATCGCCTTCTGCAAGAAGATGAGGAGATGAATATTTTGATCAACCTCTCAAAGGATGACTGGAGGTAAGGACGGGAAAAGAGAGAGATTTGGAGGTGGGGGGAGAAACTGTGAAGATAGATGAAGCATGCTGCTTTTGAAGAAATAATACTCTGTTCAAAGTGGGTTCTTTTTGCTATTTCTTTCTCTCTCTTTGTGGGTCTCATCTCTCTCTCTATATATATGTTTTTCTTGACACAAATATTCAAATGTTTGTAGATAAAGGCTGTAGAATGTCATAATTAGACTTCAACTATTTTATTTTACCATCTTTACATTGCTTTTCTGCTCATTAACTGGAAATTAGACCCTGTTTAGGCCAAATAATTCAGTATTTTGCTAAAAATTCTCAAGGAAGAAAGTTTGAAAAATCTCTTGTAACAGTGTCTAAGTGAGGGCACTTTGGAAATACTTGCTGTTTGTTATCTTAGGAAACTTGTGTTGCTTTTAGCTGAGCTTCTTAACTCTGAATTTTATCATTTAACATTTTCACCTTATATTTGATTTGGACTTCTCAGAAATTTTTTGAAATTTTCTAAGGAAATTATTTTGACACTTAAAAAATTCATGCATACTTAATTCTATTTTCTAAATGACATTGTGTGTCTTTGGATCTAGGCACACCTAGTTTTGAATGTGGACTTAGTCACTTAATACTGTGTGATATTGGGGAAGATACTCGACCTTTTCACACCTTTTAAAAATTTAATTTCTAGAAAATAGATAATAATATTTACCCTGTAATATGGTTAGGATTATACTAAATGACATAATCCATTTAAAATTCTTAGCACACTTTGTGGCATATGTAGCCTGTAAATCATTGTAGCTAAAATACAGGTCAAGGTGTTTCAAAGCTTATAGGCAAACTTATGTAAATACTTACAAAATTCTGAATCTACTGGGACTCTAACAGTATTCATACTTTTATTAAATGATCAGCTGTTTATTGAGTATCTATGTGTCCACCATTTCACAAGGATGAAGAGAAATAAGCCATACTGAACAGTAAGTCTGAGAAACTGATTTTCAGTAAGATTTGTTAAGAGTTTCCAGGCAGCTTTAATTTATTAAAACATAGGGGAGTATTTGGCTTAAATTTTATTGGAATATGCTAGACTTGGCCAGCATCTGAAAAATGCAGAGCGCTTCAGTTAATCAGCGCACATCATCAGGAAAAAAAGGAACCCTCTATCCAATTTAAATGTTGGTAAAAGTATAAGGAAAGGTTTAAATATGACAGAGAACAGCTTCGCACATTTTGGATACATCATGATTTTGAAAGATTTGTGTGAGGGCTTGTTTAGGTAGCATATATTCCTGGTCTCATGACAATCTAATAAAATGATCCAACGCTTGCTTAATTGCCTCTTAACATATTTTCAAAGCATAATTATGCCACTTCTGTTAACTATATTTTTGTTATAGGTTTTTCTACCTCTGTTTAGCTATAATTTTGTCAAAAGTTTAGCTATCTTATTTGTTTTTTCACTTTACTATGATCATATGTCTCATTCATTCTTACAGTCTGCAACTAGGGTTGGTGTAGGCAGTATCTAAACCCACAGTGACCTGGAATAAACCAGAACATATCGGTTTACAAGGAACACTTTGGAGCCAATGGAACCATCCTTGTTGATTGTCTTTAGCTGTAAACTCTTAACAGTGGGTATTCATGAAATACCAGTTGTGAATAATATGAATATTACCTGTGATTGAAACAAGTCATAAAATTGAGTGATTCAGCAAAACAGGTGAATTTAGTATAAAAATGGTCAAACTGGTCACTTGAAAATACAGTTTAGTGAAACCTGTTTATATTTATGTTTCTTATTTGGTGCTATCTTGATTATCTCAAAAAGAGAGTAAAATCATGGATTATCTCAGGTATTGAAACATCTTGATTCAATGGAAACTTACTTACAGTTATAGCCCATAGCACCATGTTTTGTTTTTACTCGCTGTTCTTTGAGATTCTATAGGTTAAACAAAGATAATAGTTGATGACTTTTTAACTTAAATTACATAGATTCATTTAGAGCTCAACTATATTTTCACTTAAGGATAGTTCTAAAAATATTGTTTTGTTATTTTATTATATTTTATTAATTTTTAGATACAGTGCCCCAAGATGTTGGTATTTCATAAATAAAATTTTACCTTCTTATTTAGGGCTCTCAGTGAAGCCCATTAACTCAAATATAACAATGTTTGGAATCCTATGTCTTTCTTAGAAAACAATTTTAATAGCTGGTAGGTTCTATTTAGATATATAAATGCATTAGACTTTTTAGGGCCTTTGTAAAAAATGTATTACTAGAACAAAGAGGAATAACAGGGGGTTCTGCTTTTGGCAGGCCGAAGAAGTTGCTAATAAACCAATGCCCCAGCAAATAACAATTATAAACTATGGGCATTCTTTTTAAAAAAGAATGATTTAAGGGCTCTAGAGGGTGAACAAAAGTCAGGCAGGTTTTCAAGGAATGTCAAAATTCAGAGAATGTGACAGGATAAGGTAAATTTGATGTTTTTATGGCTTTACTCTGCAGGATGTCTCAGTCAAGCCAACAATGCAATAGCTAATAGACACACACACACGAACACTCACATGCACACACACTCACACACAAGCTCTACTATCTTTCTGGTTAGAAAAGTCAAGATGGGAACCTGGGACAACCAGAACTTCTGGAGAGCCAAATACAACCCCAGAAAAGACAGAGCCAAATAAGGGGAAACTAAAATTCTGTGTATAAACTCTGCCCAAGTTGCTGGCTGATTCTTGGACTATATGTACATGGAAAAAACTGGAAAACAGTCTAAATTGAGATCTGATATATTGCTCACTGAAGCTATAAAGAGCTTATATTTTGAATCTAAACAAGTTAATTGCCTGCTAAAACAAAACATCAATAATCTTCAGAGCAATATAACAGAACCCAGAGTCTCTACAACTTATATTCATAATGTTCAAGATACAATCTAAATAACATACAAAGAACAAGAAAATGTGACTTGTTTGCAAGGGAAAAGACAATCAGTAGGTGCATTCTCCAAGATAAACCACCTTTGGAATTGTCAGACAAGGACTTTTAAAGCAGTTATTATATCTGTGCTCAGTGAAGTAAAGGAAAATGCTTATAATGAATAAAATATAGTAAAATTTACCAGTAAAATGAAAATATAAATGAAACACAGAAATTTTAGAACTGAAAAATAAAATATCTAAAGTTAAAATCAGCTGTAGCCTTAGTAGCAGGAAGAAGACAGAGGAAAGAATCAGTGAATTTGAAAAGTTCACGTTTCAAAGTTGGAAATTATCCAATTTGAAGAAGTAAGAGAAAAAGATGTTTAAAAATAAGCAGAGTCTTAGGGACAATTTTCCATGATCAAACACAAGGGCAATTGGAGTCTCAGAAGAAGAAGAGAGAGGGAAAAAATTCAGCATTCAAAAATCAATTAAAATAATTCACCATATTTAAATAAAAACACAGAAAAGCATATGGTCATTTCAATAGATGTATAAAAAGCATTTGACAAAATTTAACACTCACTCATGATAAAAATTCTCAGGAAACTAGAAAGAGAAGAAAACTTCCTCAGCTAGATGAAGGGCATCCATGAAAAATCTATAGTTGACATCAGGTTTAATGGTGAGATATTGGACACTTTTCCCCTAAGACTGGGAACAAGACAAGGATGACTGATTTTACTTTCATCAAGATTGTAAGATGTCTCTATTAGCAGATGACCTGATTGTCTAAGTAAGAAATCCTAAGAATGTGTAAAGTAGCTACTCGAATTGATAATGAATCTTGCAAGGTCACAGAATACAAGGTTAATGTAAAAAAAAAATTATAAATAACAGCAAACCATTGGAAAATGAAATAAAAATAATTTCTTTTATCATAGCACAAAAATATAAAATATTTAGTAGTAACTTTTAAAAAGTGCAATGTTGTTCACTAAAAACTACATAATATTGCTAATTAAAGAGGACTTAAATTGAGAGATATATTGTTGTCATGTAGTGAAAGACATCAAATCTTTCAAAATATATTTTTATATTCAATACAATCCCAATCTAAATTCCAGCAGAATTATGTTAGAAATTGCCAAGGTTATTCTAAAATTTATATAAAAATGCAAATAAAACTATTTTTGCAAGGAAGAACAATATTAGAGGACTCATACTACTTGATTTCAAAACATACTATGAAGTTACAGTAATCAAAACAGCCTTTCATTGGTGAAAGGACAGACATACAGATTAATGGAACAGAATTGAGAATTTGGAAATTGACACAACAATTAATTTATCAAAAAGGTGCCAAGATAATTCAGTAGCGAAGGAAAATCTTTCCAACAAATGGTGTTGGAACAACTATATATCCACGTGGAGTAAAATAACCTTGACCCTTAATTTACCTCATACTGTACTCAAAAATTAAGTCAAAATTGGTCATAGACATAAATTTAAAAAGCTGAAATGACAAGACTTCCAGAGGGAAACAAAGCAAAGCCCTTGGGGGTAGATGGAGATTTCCTGGATAGGACACAAAAAGCATGAAGAATGAAACAAATGATAAATTAAAACCTTTTGCTCTTTGGAAGACATTGTGGGGGAGAAAACAAACAAACAGACAAAAAGCCAAGAAATTGGAGAAATTATTCCCAACACATACATCTTACATAGGATTTGTACCCAGAATATAAAATATACTTTTACAATTCAGTAATAAGACGAACAACCGACTTTAAAAAAGAGAAAAGTTTGAAACAGACATTTCCTGAAAATAAAGTCAAATAAATGTCCTTATAAGTACATGAAAAGGTACATGACATCATTAGTCATCAAAGAAATGCAAATTAAAACCACAATGACGGGCCGGCCCAGTGACGCACTGCTACAGTGCGCCGCTTGGGAAGCGCGGCGGCGCTCCCGCCCAAGGGTTTGGATCCCACATACAGACCGGTTCCTGCTCACTGGCTGAGCGAGGTGCGGGCGCGACACCGAGGGTTGTGATCCCGTTGCCGGTCCCGGTCTGGTACGGGCGCGACACTGAGGGTTGCGATCCGTTGCCGGACACAAAAAATAGACAAAAAAAAAAAAACCCACAATGACCTACCACTCTGCACATCCATTAGAATGGCTGAAATTAAAGATTGACAAGAGTAGGCAGAGAAAATGTGAAGTGATACAACCAATTTGAAAAATGCTTGGCAGTTTCTTATAAATTTAAACACTCAGCCATCTCATAAACCAGCCGGTATACTTTTAGCTGTTTGCCCCAGAGAAATAAAAACCTACGTCCACACAAAGACTTATGCATGAATACCCATGACAGCTTTATTCACAATAGCTCTGAACTAGAATCCAGTAACTCATATGTCCATTAGCTGGTACCTGGATGACAAATTGTGGCTTACTCACACAGTGGGATACCACTCAGCAATAAAAGAAATTGAACTATTGATGAACCACTACATGGATGAATCACAAATCATATTTAGGAGAGGAAGTCAGAAACAAAAGAATACATTTTGTATTTTATATTGGATGTGTGTGTGTGTGCATGTGTGCATACATACATGGGAACATATGTGTAAATATATGTAGTGTTTATTTTAATATATAATCTATATGTATATGTATGTATATACATATACATTATATACATACAAATATATAAAACTATAAAATGTGAACTATTCTAGAGACATGAAGCAGATCAAAATTTGCCTGGAGCCTGGTATGAGGGTGATAGGCATGTTTGGTATCATGATTGAAGTGGTATTTTCAAAGACTTATTCAACTGTTTAAACTCATTGAATTGTAGAATTTATATGGAAGCAGTTTGTTATATGTAAATTACACCTCAGTAAAGTTGTTAGACACAGTAAAAAGATCAGTGGTTGGGGAGGTTTGGGGGAAGGGAGGGAGGGAGGGGTGAATAGTGGAGCACAGGGGTTTTTAGGGTGCTGTAACTTTCCTGTGTGATACTGTAATTGTGGATGCATGACACGCTTTTGTCAAAACCCTTGAACTGTGGGACATGACAAATGAACTCTATTGTAAACTATGGATTTTAGTTGATATAATGTATCAATATTGGTTGATCAGTTGTAACAAATACACTACCCTAATGCAATATGTTAATAATAAGGGAAGCTGTGTGGGGGACCTAGGCATATGCAACTTCTCTGTACTATCTGCTTAATTTTTCTGTAAACCTAAAACTGCTCTATAAAATAGTTTTTTTTTTTTTGTTTTTTTCCATGTCCGGCAACGGATCGCAACCCTCAGTGTTGCCCCCGTACCGGACCGGGGACAGGCAACGGGATTGCAACCCTCGGTGTTGCCCCCGCGCCTCGCTCAGCCAGTGAGCGGGAATCGGTCTGTATGTGGGATCCGAACCCTCGGGCGGGAGCGCCGCCTAGTGCGCCACTGGGCCGGCCCCTAAAATAGTTTATTTTTAAAAAGGTGGAATACCTATACCACCTACAAGCGTAGTATAATATGGATTATAAATCTGCCTCCTAGGATTATTTTCAAGTTTTCTTTCTTAAAACTTTGAATTGAGTTGAGAAAGGAGTGCTTTAATACCTTTTTCAATTTCATTGGATTTTTTCCTGTGAGTTATTTTCCACATGATATGTGTATTCCATGTATCCTGTTCCTAATAAATGATTTCCTTAATACTTAACCTTCATTTACTGCTCATAAAAAAGAGCCTGCCTAAAAGACTAAAATTAGATTAGAAATGTCAGAAATAATGAACTGATCTTGATTAGAAGTGGCATAAAATAAACTAATTTTTACTTCCAATTTTTTTACTTCCATCTTTTTTTCCCCACGTGTGTCCCTGAAAGGGAGTTTCGAACCTTGGTAATTGAGATGGTGATGGCCACAGATATGTCCTGTCATTTCCAGCAAATCAAAGCGATGAAGACAGCTCTGCAGCAGCCAGAAGCGTAAGTGGGCCTGCGACGTCATGTATTTTTACAGGTGTTTGAGCTGGTACTTGCCATGTTGCTGTATCTTTAAAGCATATCTCCTTCAACATGACTTTATTGAATAGTCTCATAAAGCGGTATTCGGAGGAGACAGCATGAAAATTATACATATCACAATTAGGTATGTTCTCATCAGAGTTGAAATAAATAATAGAGCCAGTCACAGTTTGCCCCAATTAGAAATTAAAATATTTCCCTGTGGGAAACTAAATGATCAAAGTTCCACTTAATGTAGAGGCAATAAATACGTCAGTGACTCTCGGATTCTCGTTGTCATTTTGAATGATGCAGGCATTCCAGAAATGGATTTGAGTCACAAGTGTCCAGTTCAATTAAACATGGAGACCTAGCTGACAAATATCCCTGTTGTAGGATGAGAAGGTGTCTTTTTCTCAATGTAGTTGAAGTGGTGTTTGAGATGGGAGAATGGAAAGGATTAAAAAAATTAATGATTTTTTAAAACTCTTATTGAGGTTCTGAAGAGTCTGGTCATCATGTGTTTGGGTGCTTTGGGTTCACAGAATTGAAAAGCCAAAGGCCTTATCCCTTATGCTGCATACGGCAGATATTAGCCATCCGGCAAAAGCATGGGATCTCCACCACCGCTGGACGATGTCACTCCTGGAGGAGTTTTTCAGACAGGTACCTTGTCGCTGTGCTGTCCATCAGGGCTGTCATCACTGGATATTCTATGCATTTGATATTTCAGCAATGCTATGATAGGGACTATTGAGATTATAGTAATTTTCTTTGGGGAGGGAGGGTTCCGCAGCTTTTTTTTTTTTTCTTCCTTTCTTTTCATGTAATGTTTGAATCTTACCTGCATTCTGATTCTCAGGACATTATGGTATTTCTATCTCATACATTTCTGTTTTGGGGGGAAAAAAGTACATTCCCTTGTGGGAGTCTTTTGTCAAAATGTCATCTGAGGAGCTACTTTACTTTTTCTTCTGATGGGTTGACAAAATGGTCGTTACTTTGGCACTGCCCTGTGGGATTAAAATGTTAATCTTTAACTCACATCTCTGTTATAATTGGTTGGCTTGTTTCTTTTGAGTGGACAAGACCATGATATAAAATTCCAAGACAGGTATGGTAATTTGGGGTCGGGAAATCACTAGAAACTACCATTCCCATTACATTTAAACTTAGTTGTGTATCCAGAGTTGTGTTGCTTACAAGAATAGACAGAATAGACAAAGTCTGTAATGAGTATACATTGCTTTAAAACAAATAAACAAAAAAGTACGTAGAACTAGAGAAATAGAAAGGGAAATAAATGCATAGCACAAGACTGAAATCTTTCAAACTCAGGTATGTGCACTAACCTCCTCTCTAGAAGAGATACCATTCAAACATCCACTTCCAGACATGAGGGCCTGAGGTTGAAAGCATGATATGTAGATTGTGGGACCCAAATTACAGTTAATTCAAGTTAATACAGTTAATTCATTCTTGTTAATTTAAGAAAGGAGTTTTATAGCATGGATTCAGAGACCTCTTAAGATTCCATAAAATGCTATTTATTAACACCAGTCTCAACTTCATCCCCTTAACTAATAAGAGATAAGCTCTTTTGGTGATTATTTAGATTTCTGGGAGTGAATTACTCCTGTGATTATTCTTACCCTTATGGTTTTAGTTTAAATGGAGAAATTGCGAAAGGCTTGTGTGTGTATATGTATTTTTTTTCCTTCTAAAGCTGTACATACTATCAGATAATGAAGTGGGACTGGATTTAACAGCATATTAAAGGAAGGCCAGAAAGTCCTTTACTGGAGTTTTTCTACTAACTAGTTTGTGGCCTGGGGAGTAATCAAATCAACCCTCTAATTCCCTATGGTCTTATGTGCTATTTGGTTTTTTTTGAGGGGATGAGTGTTAAGGGTAAGGTTGGAGCAGATGTTGTCTTATGACCCCTCCAGCATTAAATGCCGTACGTTTCCTTCACTCTGGCCATGGGTGCCCGTCAATACATGCACTAGCACATGCACCCCTAAGCTGTGATACGAATCCCGTGGCAGGTAGCCTATTCAGCGTGTGGATACTCTTCTTTGCAAAGTCATTGCTTGGCCTCCCAGAGTAGTTCTCAAAGGGAACTCAGTGGTGAGGGGGAAGCCTGAGCTGTACAGTTGTGGCCCTGTTGTATACAAGGATGACTCTACAAATCTATCCTTCATGTAGGGCTTATTTTGAGCCACTTTTCCACAGGCTATGTTTCTAATAGTAGTAAGAGGATTTTCTCCAAATACCCCTCTCCTTGTCATATGCTTTCTTTGATATTGTTTTTGCAATAACACCCCCTATGGCTAAGAGTACTCAGTCTGTGGCCAAAGGAGAGATCATAGCTAACTCATGTAAGTTTGAGGTATTAAAGCAATCCCTTTTTAAAAAAATTATGAGAGAGTGAATACAAATCACTCAAATATGAGAACATTTTTCCTCGTGAAGGAAACCTTGTTTGCATACCCATATGTTCGAATTGAATGAAAATGTGCTAGAGGCAATGTGAAAATAACCATATTGAATTTCTTGTCTACTGGGAGTGGAATGTTAGCTCACTGGTCTAGAACTACTTTTTTAGTAATTATAATTCAGTAAATTATTTTTATTGACTTAATATTTTAACCCAGATGCCATAAGCCATAGTAAGTAACCGATATAAGAGAAATGTTGCCTTCACTCTTAACTATAGATTTTAAATTGGACAGTTCAAACAGGAAATCTTAATGGGACTGTAGAGTCTTTTTAAAAATTGCATTCAGTAAGTTGGGTTATATTTCAAAATAAGGGCATAGCCTTAGTGCAGATAGATTCGACCTTCCATGCTTTGCTAAAAGAGTAAGTTACATCTTCAGTTTTATAACCATATTTTACAAAACCCAAGGCACTGCTTCAGGGTACTTTTTGATGAAGTATCGCCTTTAAAGAAGTATAAGTTTGGCTCCTTGGTGAATACATCCTGTTGTTAAAGGCTTGAGGTTCATTTACATTGTATTGCTGTATATTTTTACACTTTGCAAACATCTGCGATACTTTTAATCTCCTCTGGGTCTGTGGTTATTTCCCCATTTTTATTTATTTCACGTATTGTGTTTTTTCATTTTTCTCTATGACATTATCTAATTATTTGATTGTTTTATTGCTTTTTTGTTTTATAATGCTTTAATTGGTGTTTTCATTTTTATTATTTCATTTATTCTGCTTGAGTTTATTTTGTTCTTTTTCTAACTCTCTGAGTTTGATGTTCAATTTATTTATTTTCATTATTGCTTCTTTAACATTAGAAAATATAATGCTAGGAGTTTGTCTTTTTCTTATAAATCTTATAGGCTCTAATATGCAGTGTATTCATAATCATATTTTAGTAAATAAAGTTTGGCATGTTCACACATGTGCACAAAGTATTTGATAGATATTTACACACTGGGAGACACAATTATGGTCTGACTTTGGAGTTTTGGCAGATCTGGGTTCAAATTCTGGCAAGTTTCCCTACTAGCTTTTTTTGGGTGCGTGTGATCCGAACCCTCGGGCGGGAGCGCCGCCGCGCTTCCCAAGCGGCGCACTATCCAGTGCGCCACCGGGCCGGCCCTTGGTTTTGGTTTTGATTTCTCTTTTATCCAGGACTTGCTTCAGATAGAGGGGTTTGTTTCTTTCTTTATAATTTTCCAGTGATAGGTTTCTTTGCTTAATAGCTTCATAATTAATTTGTGTTTATTGAAATTTGATCAAAGAATTTTTCACTGTTTGGAGTTTATTTTGAAGTACATACATCACCTACTCTACAATCAACTTTTGTGAATGTTCATGGCTCATAGGAAGTAGATTTATTTATTTTTTATTTTTTATTGTTTTTTTCCGTGTCCGGCAACGGATCGCAACCCTCAGTGTTGCCCCTGTACCGGACCGGGGACAGGCAACGGGACTGCAACCCTCGGTGTTGCCCCCGCGCCTCGCTCAGCCAGTGAGCGGGAACCGGTCTGTATGTGGGATCCGAACCCTCGGGCGGGAGCGCCGCCGCGCTTCACAAGCGGCGCACTATCCAGTGCGCCACCGGGCCGGCCAGATTTATTTTTTATTTAGAGTTAAAAGAACACCAGGTATATCTACCTTCTTAATTATGTCAATTAGGTATTTTATATATCATTTTTAAAGATCTGAGCTATCCTAGGCTGACAGGTGTTTCTATTATTTTCTCTTTTTATGCAGTGTAATTTTTGCTTTATAAATACTAATTCTATATTATTTGGTTTTTGGATATTCATAGCTGTTAGGCCCTCATAGTTTATTGTACCCTGTATCATTATAGAGCCTATTTCTTTGTCTCATCTAATGCTTTTCCTAGAACTCAAATTTGACTCAATTTGAATATTTATTATTATTTTTACCATCTTTGAGTAAAATGCATTCTTTCTGGATGAATTATTTCCAGCTTTGTACCTGGGAGAAATGAGAGCAGTGGTATTCTAAGCTATCTGGGGTTGTCCTTGGTTTATTATAGGGCTCCCGGGAAGTTGTTTGTGTGTATATGTCTGTGCACACGCGCGTGTGTGCGTGTGTGTGTGTGTGCACGTGTATGTTGGCCTTTACTTTTCCCAGGAGCACAGTGGGCAGCAGGTGTGGAACCGCTCATGATTCCCTCTCTTTCCTCTACCCAGCCTCTGGGCATCTTACCTCATCCCTCTCTGACATTCACAGCATTTGGCAGCACTTCCTCCTATACTTTCGACTAAAGATTATATTTTTCCTAATACTTGTATTTACATTTCTGTTTCTCAACCTCCTTATTTTTGAGGTAGTCATTTGCAAGAGGAAAGGGCTAAAACTTTACTATATTCTCTTTAACCCCAAATCATGATACTTTTCTTGTACCTCATCTCTGTGCCTTCCTCCCCGGGAAAGAAGAGTGCACATTGCTGTGCTGTGATCAGCTTGATGCTTTTGCCGCCTCCCCGTGCATCTACTGTTTCTTCCCCCCACCTGGAAAGACTCACTGGAGATAATGCCTGCATGTCTTTTGAAGCTCTTACGTTGACAGATGCCATCTTCTCTATAAACTTCCAATATGGAAAGGACCCTTGTTTCTTTGGATTCTTACATATAGCTGCTGTAACAAACAACCCCCCAAATGTATAACAGCACACATGAATGCAAGTTTATCACCCATGTAAAGTACAAGACAAGTGTTTCTTTATCGGCAGGTGGTTCTATGAAAAGCAGTGATTTTGAACCTAGACTCTACCATCTACATGACTTCTAAGGTCCTTGTCTACATCCAGCCAGCAGAAAGGGGAAGAGCCTGGAGAAATAAGCATAGGAGACTATAGGTCCAAACTGTGGTGGAAACACATTACTTCTCCTCTTGTTCTGTTGTCTAGCACTGACTGGTAGTGACTCTAGACAATGTAGTCTAGCTGTGTGGTCAGGAACTAGAGGAGGAGAAGGATGGGGATTTGGTGAACAGCCACCTGCCTAATGGCTCTCTCTAGCTTTTCTGTCATAAACATCTGAGGGGCCAAAGACACTTGAGTGCTTCTAGCCAAATTAGTCTTTTCATTTATTCAACAAATATTTATTATCTTCCTTCTGCATACTGACTACATGACTTTTTCAGTTGGGATTATCTTAACCCCTGCCACAGGAATGAGAGTTATTTATTTTTCTGAGCTTTCCTGGAAGGAAAAAAAAAATGAATTTGTTATTTTAAAAAATCCTTTGTGACAGCTGAGACTTTTGCTGTTTCTTGACAATGTTGACCTCTTCACTAAAGAGGAAAGTGTATGAATAATTCCACAAGGGCCAGTAACTATATAGTCATACAATATTGCATTATCAATCAAGTTGCATTCACCAGTAGAAGTCCATTCCTACACATAACTCTTAGCACATTTTTTTTTTCAATTCATAAGTATATCTGCCCTCCAAAGGGAATCCAATGACCCCTGTTGTAAAATAGGCTTTTAATAGTTTAATTTACTCAGCTCAATTAAATCCAAAAGATGTAAATGATGTGCAGATTTGGGAATGGGCAAGTGCATGGGATTAGAAGTTGTTTAATATGCAATTAATTTTTCAATAATGAAATCCAAATTAATGCTTGCATCTTAATAGTCAAGTGTTCACCACCTCTCCTCACCGCCCCCATCATCAAAATGTAACAAAATCAATTCTAATTCCCTGCTACATAGGGAATTAAAAGGGGTTTTAATTGCTTTAGTTGAGCTATCCCACTAAACAATCTACAGAACTAGAATTTATGTTATAAATACTCTTCCTTTTCTGCATACTGCCCAGATAGAAATAGCTTGGGAGGAAATCATTTTTATCATGCCACTTTAGAGACAGAGCAGCCCTCTGCAGAAGCCACTGTGTCCCATGGTGGATTTGTACAGGAAAAGGATGCAGAAGGAACCGAGCCACTTTAGAACTGTTCCTGAAACACTTAGATGTCTCTCCCATTATAACCCCACCGGTCAGCTTCCTCAGATGCCCATTGCTTTACCATCCTTTGAGTTGACATTAGATGTATACATGAGCTTACATCCTTTCTCTTTGGCAACATGCCTTAAAAGAAGCAGCATTCAGTTTTCATTCAGCTAGGCTTGGCTGCAGGTTGTTATTGCCCTTTATTTGCTATTAGTTTAATGGTGATATTTATAACAATCAGAATGTATTAGATGTAACAAATTCCTAAATGTTTCTGAAATCTTGAGCCTAAATTTTAGAGCTACCTATTGGGAAACAACAATCATTCTTTTAATAGTTTGTTTTATTTATTTACATGCATTTTCTCACTTAATCTTCATTATAACCCTATGAGGTAGGGGTTATTATCCCACATTTAACAGATCATAAAACTGAAATGTAACCTTCCTGTGATCACACGTCCTTGAGGAGAAAGGTGGGATTCAAGCACATGTCAATAACTACTATCCTAAGCAGGTTCTTTCCTAGTAAAATGAATGAGCACAACTTCATAGTAGAAGAAGGGCGACATGTTTTTCCTTTTCCTCCAAGTGTATGACTGGAGTATTGAGCTGCTGGTTCAGGTTTTTATAAGTCATCACCATCATTATTTAGACTTTCCATAGTACTTGTTTGTTATAGTGGTGCTTTTTGGTGAGATTGAGATCATCCTAGCCAGACAGTCATGCTTTATTGCTTTATAAGTAGACAGACACGAGCAATTATTCACTCTGGTTTCTTTCGGTCCACTTTCCATTATGGACTGAGCCCTGAGTTTAAGAACCCAGAAGCACTTAACGCCAGTTGTGTGTGGCTTCTGGTAGCTCTGGGAGAATAAATGCAAATCAGTCCAGTTTGAATTTGTGTCTTGACCACTGTCCACAGTTGGGAGGGGTCCACTGGCTAGAGAAAGGCCACAGGTCAACACAGGACAACTTGAGAAAACATAGGAATTCTGACAGTGTTGGCCCCAGGCCCCAGGACACATTGCCTGTTGCTTTATTTTCTGTGTGGGCCCTATTGCTGCCCAGTGAGGCTTTGTTTACAACAGCATGAGCCTCTAAAGATGCATGGAACGATTGGAGCCCAGAGGGCTTTATCCACTTGGTGTCTTTTATGCAGAGAAGCAAACCCCATAAGGACTTATTACTTAATGTAATCGTAATAACTGAAGTAAAGATCAGTGGTCTTTGTGGCAGCTGAAGTTACTAAATTAAATCTGGGTGGCTCAGCCCACTGTTCCTTAATTTGCTATGACCTCCTGTTTTTCCAGGGTGACAGAGAAGCAGAGCTGGGGCTGCCTTTTTCTCCTCTGTGTGACCGAAAGTCAACTATGGTTGCCCAGTCACAAGTAGGTACGTGTTTGCCAGCCCTTTGGAAAAAAGGAGACACCAGACCCAGAAGCCTAAAGAAGGAAACTCAGTCACTCCAGTGATTCTTTGGCTGGGAATCTGGCTCCATTCCTCTGTGCTATGCTCATGACTGTACCTGGTTGGGTTGGTGGGGCTGCTGTCTCCATCTTCTCCCTGGAGTAAGGCTGGTTCATGGGAAGATTCGACAGTGACACTCTGGTGTCTTTGACATTCCCTCCCCAGGGAAAAAGGGGCCTCAACTTTCCAAGGAGATGACAAGAATCATTGGCAGGAGGCCTGTTCTCCTCCAGCCTCTCCATTCTGCACACAGTTCCAGAAGTCACCATGGCATTTCCCCCCACTGGTGCTTCTTCTAGCCCTGTTTCAGGACAGTCCCTTTTCCTGGGTGACCTTGCTTCCAGGAATGTCTCTTTTAAAATGTTTCCTTCCTTTTTTTACTTCTTTTTTTTAAAAGCACTTTTTTTGGTAAGGATAACTTTTGCATTGCTGATAACCATAACACTTGTATATGCATTATAAAAATCCTTAGCTATGGGAGAGGGTACCAAAGCCATATATAAATTAAATGTCATCAGTGATTTCCACCTTTGAAGAGTTTGAAATCATTCAAAGTAGAAATTCAATAAGGATATGATAATGATAATTTTTTTTACTTGTGTTTTGAGCGCTTATTCATTCTTTTCATAACATATATTGAGTCTCTGTTAGGTGTTGGGTGCTGCTAGGCACTGTAACAGATGTTATAAAGACAAAAACAAATATACATGGCACCTGCTCTCAAAGACATTAAACCAGTATTGGGTGGTGGGTAAGATGTTATGAAAACAAAAATCTATTAGAATGTAACAATGCTAAGGTATAAGTGTGTATATAGTACAATGGGGTATAGAATAAAGTGTGTGAACTGCTAGAGCCACGTGGTCCAGAGAGACTTATTGAGGGGCAGTATTTGAGTTGAGTCCCAAGAAGTGAGTAGTCATTGTCTAGGCACATGGGGATATGCATTAGAGGTGATTTAGCGGTAGGTGGAAGGGCATTTCAGGCAGGGGATGTAGCATATAAAGGCAGGAAATTTAAAACTGCCTAGTATGGTCAGTGAATTCTAATCAGTTCCATCTGGCAAGGGCAGTGGGCATGCAGTAGATGCAGTGAGGACATGTCTGGAGAAAAAAAATCAGGCCCAGATTTTTATATTGTGTTAAAAATAGCACCTGTTTATGCTTTCCTGTGGAATATGAGGGCATATCTAAAGAATTTTAAGTAAGTTTAAAAAACATAAATTCATGTTTTAGCCTGTGAGCTAAATATGGCACATCACCTGTTCTTGTGAATAAAGTTTTATTACAACACAGCTAAGCCCATTCATTCACATAACGCCTATAGCCACTTTGCACTGTAGTGACAGAGTTAAGTAGTTTTGATAGAGATGACATGGCTTGCAAAGCCTAAAATAACTGTCTGCTTCTTGCAGAAAAAATTTGTCGACCCCTGTTTTAGAAAGATTTCTCTACAACATGGATGGACCTTGAAAGAATAATATTAAGTGAAATGAGTCAGGCAGAGAAAAAGAAATACCACATGTTCTCACTTATTGGAGGGAGCTAAAGGTGAATGAATCAATTCACACACATACATACACACACACACACACAAAAAAAAAAAAATCTGGGTGGGGTGAGAGGAAGATATAACAACCACAATTTTTTTTTTTGAAGTTCTTACAACAAGCAAATTGAGGGGACACACTTGGGTGGGAGGGGAGAGAGGGAGGAGGGAGGGAGGTTTCGGTGATGGGACATAATAATCAACTACATTGTATATTGACAAAATAAAAATAATAAAAAATAAAAGAAAGATTTCTCTGCCAGTAGCATGAAGGATTAACAGGAGAGTTTTGAATAAGACCAGAGGCAAGGAAGCCGGTTGCGAGCCTCCCACAGGATAACAGGCGAGACATGAGTGTCAGAACTAAGGTGGTAACAGGTAGATTCTCCAGAATAGAGGTGGCATGTAAGGTGTTAAGGATTTGCTGGATGTAAAGCTAATATAAAGGCAGGAGTGGTTGGACCATGGTCCCATTTACAAGGGTTGGGGGCAAAGCTGATGAGTTAGTTCTGATTTAGACATGTTGAGTTTAACTTGGGAGAAAAATAGGTGAAAATGTTGTCACTGAACACTCCAGTTTCAAGTTAAAATTATACTGCAATTAACTATAACAAATTTGGCCATCAGTGTTTCCTTATCAGAATATTATTGGTATTTGGCTGGGACAGTTCTTGTTTTATCAATTACATTGCAGGACTTTTAGCATCCGTCACTGCTGAGCATTAAATGCCAGCATCACCCCCACCCCAGTCACTGTGAAAACCAAATACGAGCGCATTCATTGCCAAACACCCCCTTAGAGGGATGCGGGCAGTATTTCCTTTGGTTGGTATTTAGTTTCCTTCCAACCTCCACGTAGCTGCCTAATGAATTACCACCAATCACATTAGCTCCAGCTCATAGATCTTTGCTGGATGTGTCACAGAACACTCCGGTGTTTTTGAGCTGTTGAGACAATCACTCCAGCCTAACTTCAGTATCTCCCCAGTGTGGCAATCTCACAAAAGTATAGTTCCAGGTCTGACCCGCCCGCCCGGTTTCTGACCTCTTTCCTCTTAATTCTATTTGTCCTGTCTCATCTGAATATATCCCCTTTGCTCAAAGGCAGTTGATCTGAAACTGAGCCCTCTTCTTTCTGCCCAGCCACATTCTCCCCATCCCCCATCCCTGCCACCACGTTCCCTGTTTTCCCTGCTTTGTTGCTGGAGGTCTTTGATGGATCCCATGCAGAGGCAGTGCCACCCCTGCCGTGCGGGTCTCTGGGCCTCTTTTGCATTCCCACCTGACAGTGGCGCTGGCTCCAGCCTTACTTACCTTTTGTTTGAGCTACTGCAGGCTTCTAAAATGATTTTCCCAGCCTCAGCCCCTCATACTTGCTCCCTTCCCATCCATCTTGCCAGGTTAATTTGTTAAAGAACATTTAAAAACTCTTATTACAATGCTCCCCAAACATCTGATTCAGGGGATTTTAGTGTCCATCTAAATCCCAAGCTTTCCTTCCTCGGGTCCAAAACAGTCCCTCGGCCCCATTCATTCCTCAGACACGTGCTGTGCTCTTTCTCATCTCTGTCACTTTGCTTCTCAACCCCTCCAGCCAGAGTCAATAGCATGTCTTCCTCCCCACCCACCATTAAGGGCTCAGCTCAAACATCCCAAGCTCCGTAGCATGGCTTACAGTACTCTCAGCAGGAGGGAAATCCCCCCCCCCCAACTTCTCAGAGCCTTTGTCTGGGCTTCTCCTTTGGCCCTCCACATGCTCTAGGGGTCATTTTTGTGCTTGCTTAATCTCTCCTATAAATTCCTTGAGGGCAGGTGGGTGGTATCATTTGTCTTAGTTTTCTGTGCAGCTCCTATCACAGTGCTTGTAACATAGCAGGTGTTGAATATATACTCGTATTTTTCAAGCCCTTTATTGAACTATCTACTGAAAAGTCATGGGAAGTTATGTAGGAGAAATGGAACTGACTCATGATATTCAAATCCCGGAACACATCAAATGAATAAGACCAACCCATTCTCTCCTAATCTGATCTAGAGTTCTTATGGACATCAATGAATTGTAAAAGAAAGAAAAGACTTGTCACTTTTCCATGGGAAAATATGGAAAGGCCCAAGCTAATGTGTAGCTCCTCTGAACTATTGCTATTTCTCTTCAGGTTTTATTGATTTCATCGTGGAACCCACCTTCACTGTGCTCACAGACATGACCGAAAAGATTGTGAGTCCATTAATCGATGAAACTTCCCAAAGTGGCGGCACAGGACAGAGGCGGTCAAGGTCAGTGGAGGAGCTGGAGGGCTGGGGGTGACGTTGGCCTGCCTGTGAGGACAAACTTCTCTTGGTGGGATGGGGTGGTATTTCATAATGATGTTTGCCTAGCCACCTTCTTGTATGAGATCTGTCCGCCTCTTTCCTTTTCTCAGAGGAGTTAAAATTATACTATCTGTACTCACCTGGCTGGCCTGTATGATGGTGACTAAGGGCCGAATCATGACAGGCAGGTGCTACCCTCCACCCCCAATTCTCTCCTAGCCTTTGCTTTTGGCAGCAACAATTGTTGCACTTTTGCACTTTTTGCACATCCCAGACACCCTTGCTCCTGATACTCTGACAAAGACAGCGCCCCATCAGACTTATCTCAGGAAATGAAATCACCTTTCCTTTTTAGGTTTGGAAAGAGAATGAAGAGGGAAAAAAAAAAAAAAAAAAAACCAAAAAAATATCTGACAGTTTTAAATCACCTTCTGCCACAACAACACTATATCAGGGGTAGATTAGTAATTAAAGAGCACAGTCACTGGGGTTAAAAACTCCCGACCCCGTCACTTATTATCTGTGCAATCTCAGGCAAATTGCCTCACTTTCCACATCTGAGAAAATGTGGATTGTAGTACTCATAGGTTGCTGGGAAGATTAAATGAGTTATTCAGTAAACATAAGCCCCTTAGCACAGGGTCCAGCACAGAAGAGGTGCTAGCTACAGTAACACTAACACCGTCCTACTGTCACTGCTGCCACTGTTACTACTGTAGCTGTTCTCTTCCTTGTCTGTGCAAAGCCTTGGGCTTTGTCATAGAGGAGAAAGAAGAGAAGTGGAATGAACAGGGGAAAGAGAAGCAGAGAGCAGGAAAAGGAGTAGAGGCAAGAGGAACATTAGGACAGTGGGACCCATGGATGCTCGAGGTGGATGAGCCCTTTGAAGTTGTTAATAACAGGGACAGTTGCCATGGCCCTCCAGCCCTTCAAGCACTGGCTGGAACATACTCTGCTTATCTAGCTAGGCTTGATTGTTATTTAGTGGATTTGTATTCATGTCAGTCACTGCTTTAACCACCTGGGAGCATGAGTTACTTCTTTAAAGTTTTCCAGAAGGATGGTACTTTCTAATATTTGCAAAGTTACCCATGCTTAAAGCATGAAGTAGTTATATAAAGTAAGGTCTTTTACATGACCTAGTCTCTCACAATCTCCATGCTGGCTGTGCCTCTCCATCTTCTCCCAGCAATGTAAGGAAATCATCACTTCCCTGGACTTGGGGATCCTGGGATCAGAGAGACCCTGAGTACGGGGGATGGGTGAAGCCAGAGAGAAAGAGGACCAAGTTGCTGGGTAACTTGGAAAGGTGGTCCGTGTAGAAGCAAGTGGGTGAACTGCAGAATCAAGTAGAAATCCAAGTTCAAATTAGTCAGTTTCAGAGACTAAAGCAGAGAACATTCAAGAGAGGAGATTCTAGTTATTGGAAAAAAGAAGAGACCAGTCAGCAGAGAAATATGAGAAACATAGAGACACATGAGACTGCAATGTTGATATTTTTCTCTGCTGAAAATACAGAATTTTCCAACTGTCACATTGGAAAATAGGATAATTACAAACCTCAGGACTCAGAAATTTCACAGCAATAACTTGATGAGTGCTAACCACTTCTCTTGGGCTTGCTCATTGGCAGACATTTTTTCAAACACTAATTCTTCTCTTTGATATTATTCTTTTGTCCCCCAGTTTGAACAGCATCAGCTCATCAGATGTAAAGCGATCAGGTGTTAAGAGCTCTGGGTCAGAAGGAAGTGCCCCGATCAGCAACTCCGTCATCCCTGTTGACTATAAGAGCTTTAAATCTACTTGGACCGAGGTGGTACACATCAACCGGGAGAGATGGAGGGCCAAGGTGCCCAAAGGTAACATGCTGTGAGGGAACAGTCTTCCAAGAGACCTGCCATACCAACTCAGCACCCACTCACAACACAAGGGATTGCCTTCTCTGACTTACAGGTGTTGCAAATAAAGTACAGTTGCTCAGGATGCAGACTCAGGTTGTTGACTATTAGGATCTATCATTTTTTAATCTTCACATATCCAGCACTCAGTGAGGAACAATGTAGCAGACTTCCAGGCTTCCTGACTTCATGTCTTTTGTGCTCTATGACTAACCTTTTTCTGGTATGATGAGTCTATAGGGGCTGGGTGTTACTCTTTCTTGGTTTCTGCGACCATCTTGCCATTCTCATTTCACATCATGTGGCACTGACTGTGAGGCCTTTATTTCTTCTTTTTCCCATGTAAAGCCTAGCCCTTGACTCCTATGTTGGGATATAAGGATTTTAATTTCTTTACATGCATTTTTATCTTACTTTCTTATTCACGATTCTCTTCACTTATTGCTCAGACCATAGAACTGATCTGAGCTGATGATAATTTATATGTAAACAGAAATTCTCTGCAGCAAACATTATCAAAATTCAGACCAGAAAAGTCATGGTGCTTCATACTATAAACAGAGAAAGATGAAAATTCATATGTTTCTTGGAAGTATAACTTCATTTTTCATCCATGCATTTGTGTTTATTGAGCATGTACTACATGATCAGCACGTACTACGTGATCATAATGTAGAAGAGACAGAGAGGCACTATCTACACAGGTTGTACAAACCTGACATAAGTGGTATGAAGCTGTGATGCCTGATTCCAGGGAGGGACATAGACTTGACACAGGTGGCTCTCAGATCAATAAGAGGACTTGATCCCAGTGGGCTTTGCAGAGGTGAGCCTTCAATGAGAGTTTTTGCCAACATCTATTAAGTGCCTACTGTGTGCCAGGCTCTGTGCCTGGTGCCAATGGTACAGAGATGAGTAAGAGACATCCTCAGTGTCAAAGCTCATGGTCTTGTGATGGGAAAAGGGAAGGGACATTCCTGGAGACTTACAGAGGAAGAATAGGAGCTCAGTCAAAGCCTTGCTCTTGTCTCCAGCACCCACCAGGCCTAAGCCCAAGACCCTCTCCACAGTGTCAGCACAGCAGGTGAGAAGAAGCGCATGTTTCTGGGGGTCTCAGCCCCCCATACATGGGGCTTTGGGAGGTCTGCTTCTAGTGTAGAGTAGAGGCCTCACTGTTGGAGTTATTCAAAGGCCAGCCACTGTGACTTGCCCACAAAAGCCTGTCCAGGTGGATGCTCATTTCAGATGAAGCAAAGGGCTTTATTTATGGTGCTTTTAGGGTGTGATTGGATCCTTGTCATTTCAAGACAGGTGTTGCCCCCTGAACTATGGAGGGAACCAACACCTCTTCCATATTTTATATGTACCCTCTCACAATCCATGAAAATGCTTTAGACATTTAAATTCTCCCTGTTGGCAGGCGTTGCGAGCAGAGACAGCAGCCACTGCATCATCTCAACAGAAGCTCCTCTTCTAATCAATTACACCCATTAAACTTGAAAATACACTTCCTGATAACACGCAATTTAAAGAGGTACTTCAAAGTAATTTGTGTGCAATTATCTGGCTTACTAAAATTACCTTCTGAAACTAATCACCTGGGGAAGTATTAGATGGTTTCTTTTCCAGGGGAAAACTTGCCCTTTAAAAAAACAGATAAGTAAACAGGTAATAATTTTTAAATATGTGAGGAATGCAGATAGAGATATGCTTAAGCTATTTTGGAAGCATACAGGGACTTGTCTGTAACCCTGCTTGGGGCATTTGGGAATGCATTGTACATCCAGGACTTGAAGGACATCTGGAGGTGAGCCCTGATGGAGGTGTTGTATTTAGAAATGGGATCAAGGGAGGAAGGATGGACAAAGGTGCAGAGCCTGGGTGGATATTTAAGGAAGGAGAGTTTGGTTATCAAGGCAACTTTCAGTTAGTGGGGAATCTCGACTTGCAAGGTGTTCTTTGGCAAATTCAGGTGGGGTCTTTGAGACTCCATTTGGGGGATGGTAATACACCTTGCAGAGCTGGTGCTAAGCTCTGAGAACAGAGCCTGGATGGGCTTATGTGTGATAAGCAAAGGGTTATCTAAAGTTTATCAAAAAGGTTATCAAAAGGTTTATCAAAAAGTTAGGTTGGAATGCAAAGTAAAAATACTAGCATGTGGGCCGGCCCGGTGGCGCACTGGAGAGGGCACCGCTTGGGAGCGCGGCAGCGCTCCCGCCGAGGGTTCGGATCCCATGTGGAGACCGGTTCCCGCTCACTGGCTGAGCGCAGTGCGGGCACAACACTGAGGGTTGCGATCCCGTTGCCGGTCCCCGGTACGGGTGCGACACCGAGGGTTGCGATCCCGTTACCGGTCAGTAAAAAAAAAAAAGACAAAAAAAAAAAAAATACTAGCATGTAACTGATATTTTATAACACTGTTAGCCTCTCAGTAATGCTGTTGACTGGTTAACTGGTGTTAATAAGAAATCCAGTTTGCATCTGTTTTTCTGTTGGTGGTCAGTTTGTACTAGATTATCCCAGGCTGTTTTGCTCATTGCTCTTTTTTTCTCAGAGACCCTGATTCCAAGGAAGGCTGCCCTCCATAGAGCATTTAAATATGTATGTGTTGTTATTACACTGATCAGAAATAGAACTGTAGATAAAGGTTTTGTTAACCAATTTGATTTACAAAGCTATCTAGGCCAGAACCCATAGTTATTAGGAAAGGTTAAATACAATATTTTTTTATAGGTCTTAGAGCTAAAAATCATTACAGTTGACCCTGGAATAGTATATCTGTTTGAACTGCATGGGTCCACTTACGTGAAGATTTTTTTTTCAATTAATATGCCTGCAGTACTGTAAATGTATTTTCTCTTCCTTATGATGTTCCTAACATTTTCTTTTCTTTAGCTTACTTTATTGTAAAAATACAGTATACAATACACATACAAAATATATGTTTATTGGCTGTTTATGTTATTGGTAAGGCTTTTGGTCAACAATAGGTTATTAATAGTTAAATTCTGGGAGAGGCAAAAGTTATGTACAAATTTTTGACTGCTCAAGGAGGGGTTTGGTGCCCCTAACTCCTGAGTTGTTCGAGAGTCAAGTGTATTCCCAACCAAAGATGTGTACGTATAAAAAGTTTGCAAGTCTAATCAATACTGATCAATTTCAATACAGAACTTAATACGTTTTTTTTAACATTTATTTTCTGGTATAAGAATAATGTGTTTAGGTTACAAACTTTGAAATATAAAATATTTGTATAAAGAAAAAAGTAAAAATCACTCATGACCTCTCCAGCCATACATAACTATTATTAAAATTCTGATGTAATTCTTTTTAATTTGCCTTACTATGCATTTGTATAAGAAAAATTTTTCCCCATAAATTGGCATCATAATATAATATTGTCTTGTACTCTGTTTTTCTATTTTTACCTTTGGTATTTTATCCTGGTACTGACTATTCCGATTTAAATGACTACGTTGTATGGAATACCATAATTGAACCATTCCTCTAATACTGAGCATGTAGGTTTCTAGTTCTTTGTTATTGCATGTAACGTTGTTATGAACATACAAATTCAAAAGTCTTTGTGCCTACCTCTGAATATTTACCTAGGATAAATTCCTAGATGTGGAATTTCTTTGTCAAAGTAGATGAAAACTTTTAAAGCTCCTGATATGTATTGTTAAAATTTCTCTCTGTACTTTTTTTGGTTTAATCAGTTTTCTCTCTCAGGAGTATGGTGAAAGTGCCAATTTCCCTATACTATTTCTCCTCCAATTTTTCCCATTAGGATGTTTATATTCTTATTATTGATTCATAATAATTCTTTATATATTGAGGATGATAATTGTTTAGTTGTCAAAATATCTTGCAATTTCTACCCCAGCCCAGTTTGTCATATGTTTTTAACTTTGCTTATGGTCTCTTACTACACATATTATTTTTATTTTACTGGAAATTGCCTTTAAGCTTTTTATTGAATTACAAGTCTCTATAAATGTAAACATTGAATAATATATAGTGATACTTCTTTGCAAATGCTGAGAAATTTAGTGAATTTTTACTTAAAGCTTCCTCCATTATCACTCAACTTGCATTGGATAATATAGGATTTTTAATCTTGGTGATAATAAGTAAATTGTTATTTTATAATCAACTTATTGTTAAATATTATTTTTTAATGTTTGCATCGAGTTTCATCTCTAGTTTACTCTTATTTAACAGTAAGCTTTACTGGTTTCATTATACACCATTAACATTTTTCTCATTCTTGAGTTTTTAGTATTGTTTGAATTTTTTTGTTGCTGGAGCATTTCTTTGACTAAAATTTTCAGAAAGTTTCTATGGGAACAACTTCTGAGTCTTTGGTTGTTTAGAAATGCCTTTCCATTGTTCTTGTATATAATTCAACATTTGTATAGTATTTTGGGGTTTTTTTTTTTAGGTCAGTCAGTTTCTCTCTGCCTTTCTCCCTCTCTCTCTGTTTGTAGGAAGTTTAAGTAGGCATTTCAGAAAGTTGTATCAAGGGATAACTAGTTCAATACCATTTTTAACTGAGAGCCTATATCATTATTCAAGAGGGCAGATTAAATGAAGAAATTAATGTATTTCTTTGTGACCGTACGGACATTCGGTATAGGGTAGAACAGCGCTCCTTAGGAGGAAGGTAATTTATGGATCATGATCCTCCTTACCTCTTCAGCTGCTGACTTTTGGCCATTTTCTTAATGAGTCACATCACTACAGACAGTTTAAAATGGGAAGCAAAAGGAAACAGGGTTGAACTGTGACGTTTGCTTTTTACTAGTCTAGAAGCCAAGCAATGCCAAAGATGCTAAATCTAAAATCTGAAAAGTTAATTCTCTGTATACATGCTATCACTGAGACCTGTTAGCATGTACATGTTAACTGTGTTCTCATGTACTTTTTCTCATTGTAGGAAAATTTTATCTATACTAATAATTTCACACTGAAAATATATGGGAATCTGATTGCAGTGGAAAAGACCTACTACTTGTTCATGTATTTTCTTTTTTTCTTATTCACGTGTCTGCATGTTTTTGTCTACTCATTTTGAGTAGCAGCACTTTGGGTACCGTATGGTTGACCACACTAGTACCAGCTATTTCAGAGATAGGCAGAGAAAGAAGTCGAATAGAGAAGATGAAGATCATTGCAGAGCCACCTGCTGGAACGTGATTACTGCAGAGAAAGGAATTGTACAGTGGGGCAGGTTCATGTCTGAGATGATCATGATGTCATAAGGGCTTCCATTAATTAATTTAAACACCAATTGCCTGATGTCAGCTGCAGTTGAGCAAAAACAGATTTGTTTCTAAAATGTACCCCTCTTCCAATTTCTTTTGCAAGACTTCCCATGGAAAATTGGTCTGACTCAGCTGTCAAATAAATTTTTCTTGCTCAGATAATATTTTATGCTCCTTTGTAGCAAGCCGGAACTTAATACCTTCAATTTTTATCCCAATTATTTTCAACTTGGAGATATTTTGAATGCTGAAAGTTTGCTAGAAATTCAGTAGAAATTCTGTGAGGGGGTTATAAATTATTTTCCCTGATACCAGGTTCTGAGTATAAATGAATTCTTCTCCCCCTTGCCTCAGCTTCCCTCTTTGTAGTAAGAACAGTCATCTTTTTATTTACTTACATTAGCACTTAAGGAAACTAACATTTGTCAAATGGCTAACTCTTTCTGAATAGAACTTTAGAGTTTGTATGCATTCTCTATTTTATGCCAGTCAAGATTGCTGAAAATGGCATATGTACAAATAAGGTTACATTGGCAGATTTATCACACCTATGGGGTATATTTCATTCAGTCGACAAATACATCATGAGTGTTTGCTATGTGCCGAGTGTTGTGCCAAGCACTGGGAATTCAGTGATAGAGATGGCATTTGAACCCTGTCCTCAGGGCACTAAAGAAGGGTGAGGTTAAGCCCGAGTGAACATTACAGGGGAACTTCTGTGGCCCTGCATCCCACTAAGAGTGCTATCTAGCCATCTTCTTTTACTCTCTAGTTGTACATTTCTGTAGAAGACAGAAGACATATAATATATATGCACATAATTATGTTATTTGTCAAGAAATTTTTTTCTTACGTTTCCAGTGTGAATTATGAATACATCCTATTGGGAAGCAGAATGTCATGAACTTTTTTTTTTTTTGTCTTTTTCATGATCGGTAAGGGGATCACAGCCCTTGGTGTGGTGTCGCCTGCACCGCGCTCAGCCAGCGAGCGCACCGGCCAGTCCTATATAGGATCCGAACCCATGGCGGGAGCGTCGCTGCGCTCCCAGCGCTGCACTCTCCCGAGTGCGCCACGGGGCCGGCCCAGAATATCATGAACTTCTGAATGACAAACATTTAAAATTTAAATCAGTGCTTCTCAACCCTGATTATGTGTTAGAATACCTGGAAAACACTTGAAGTATCCTATTCTTGCCCCTCTCCCTCCAGAATCTGATTTAATTTATCTGGGGTGAGGCCAGGGCATTGGTTAGGATGGATGGATGGATGGATCAATGAACAGATGGATAAAAACTCCATAATATATTAAGGAGAACATCTGGGATAAACAAATGTAAGGGCACGAAAAGTAAAATAAATCCAAACATCATAGACATCCACAAAATACATGACTTAAAGCCTCATGAACACGTGAACCTGGACCAAATTTGGGCTTTGAGCTCCTTAGCAGCTAAAACATAATCAGATGTACAACCACTGTGGTGTCCATTAGATTAAAAACAAACATATTGTCTATGAAAGCCAGCTTTTTTTCAGGACCAAGACTAACACAAGGGAAATAAAGAGGACCTGTGATAATGAGGTGTGGGGCAGTTTTTTTGCCAGATCTAGACAAAAATGCAATAATGCTTTTCACAGTGGAGGTTGGTGGCACAGTCCGGAAGACCTTTTGAGGGAATTGAATATTGTATGGGGTGAGTCTGCAGGCCTTGAGGAGGATTTGTCTCTGTTAGGTGCCCCCTGTATGTGTTAGTCTCTATAACACAGCTCCGCCTCGCTGCCTCCAAGGCTCTGCACGATCTGAAACCTTGGTCATTTGGCCCCATCATCTAACCCCTTGCCAAATTTGCTTTAGCCATACTGGCTAACTAAATGTCCTTTGAACATACCAAGCTCACTCCTGCCTCATGGCCTTTACATTTTCTAGTTCTTTCGCCTGAAATTCTATTTATCCAGATTATTGCAAGGACAGTTCTTGTCATTTAGGACTTGATCAAATGTCACCTTCTCAAGGAAACCTTCTCCACTTCCTTATCTAATGCCACCTCTGCCCTTTATGCAGATTTTGTTCCATCATATCACTCTGCTTATTTTTTTGCAAAGCACTTCTCACAGTCTGAAATTATTTTAGTCATTTGTTTACTTAGTTTTGGTCTTCTCTTCTCCATGAATCTGTCTTGCTTACTGCTGTATTCCCAGTATGTAAAATAGTGCTTGACACTGAAGCAGCTCAATAAAATTAGTTAAGTGAATGAGCCAATCTTTTCATAAATTCCTGACCTATGCAATTAAACTGTGTTTTTGATTAAACACAGAGCCAGGCCCTTTTGTAATCAGTCAAATTGGAAATAACACTGACATCCACTCATTAAAGGAGAGGACACAGACCAGGTACCTGGCCAAACTAAAGAACACTTCTCATCTTGTGGGCAGTTCAAAGACCTTTTTTTTTTTTTTTTTTGGTAAGTATTAGTTTTTGTCCTCTTTCTACTTTTAAATTCATAAACAGTGGCCTGAGGGTGCATTTTTCTAGTGGTGGTGATTTTCCCTGACTTTCTATTTTGTGATCAATTGTTTATGTTTAAACTCTAGGTTGTAAGTAAACCTACATAAAATTTCAATTTTTACTATGGCTGTGGGAAAGTTTTGTAATGTCTCTGAGCCTTGATTTCCACACTTGTAAATAGGGTCACAATAATAGTAGCTGCCATAAGGTTATTTTGAGGATGAAAAGAAAGAATCCTTGAAAGGCACTTAGTATAATACTTGGCATAGAGGACATACTCAATGGAAACTAATAATGATGATAACAATAATGTGCATTATAATATTGGCTTAAATATTATTATTATCCTTATTATTATTTTCTTCCTGCCCCATCCTCTAGCTCAATTTTCAAAAATGGTATGATCATGAACCTATTTTATTGCTTTCCTAAATATATTTGCCAATCTGTTCTTGAATTGACCAAAAATATACTCCAGGCACTCAGTAAACACCTTAGGTCATTTTAGTGTATTGCTTCCCAGTGCAAATCGTTGTTGTTTTCAAAAAGACAATTGTCCTAACGGCATGACTTCTTTTCTCTTTTCTGCACTTTTCCTAACTTGCTGTGGATGCAGAGGAGAAGGCCAAGAAGGAAGCAGAGGAAAAGGCTCGCCTGGCCGCAGAGGAGAAGCGAAAGGAGATGGAAGCCAAGAGCCAGTCCGAGGAGGGCGCAGCCAGCACAGCCGAGAAGACGACGTCTGGAGACGCCAAGAACCAAGTCAATGGAACGCGCACGAACAAAAGGGACAACCCTCGGGGGAAGAATCCCAAAGCTGAGAACTCCTCTGGAGAAAAGCAGCAGAATGGTGAGTAGAACTGCACTAGCGAAGGCTCTTTTGGGGGCATTAATGAGGCGATGGACGGAAGCTGGCAGCCGGCTTCCCCTGCACCTGCAGCTCGTAGAGCGGGCTTCCTTCCCTGTCATCCAGCTCCTGCTGATCCCATCTCCCCGGGCCGCGGATGCTGGCAGGGTCCCATCAGAAGCAGCCAGCAGCTCTGGGGAGATCTATGCCTTTCTGGCCCTTCCCAGCTAGAGTGTCTAGCCAGTGCCTGCCTGCCTGCCCACCAGGTGGAAATTCCCATTAACAACCCCATCATGGTCTGGAGTTCTCCCTGCTAAATGGGGGAATGGACAGTGAGTTTCCCATGACCATCACCCTAGGAAGACCAGGCCTCAGGTCTGCCTGGGGCCTATTCCTGTAGTATACATCTGTACATTAGGGTGACAGTCATCCCAGTTTACTTGGGACTGAGGGATTTTCTGGGATGCAATGCTTTCCATTTTAAAAACCAGAAAAATTCCAGGCAAACTGGAATGAACTGGCCACCATAGTGTGCATATAGTTATTGATTTCTTATATTTAATGCAACAAATATTTATTGATGAACAACTGTGTGCCCAGCACTGTGCTTGGCAGTGGAGATTTAGAAATGGAAAGGTCACAAGAAACCCATGCGGACATCCTCACAAATAATTCCAGTGAAACGTGAGCAAGTAACAGTAGTGGCATGGCAGATAAAATGCCCAAAGGACATGTACAAAGAAAGGAATGTTAGCTTTGTTGGGACTGGGGCTTGTGAGATACGGTACATGTTAGAGAAGGCTTCAAAAGGAGGTGGTGTCTGAGCTGGGTTTTAAATGCTGAAGTTTGCTGATCGCATGAGAGAAAGAGACTTCTCAGCAGAGAGAATGAGATAAATGAGTGCACAAGGGCATGGAATTGGTTCCCTTGTTTAGGGAAGGGCAGAGGTTCAGAGTCTCTGGAGCTTTGCAAGTGCATGGTTGTGACCAAATTGCAAGGTAGCTTAGCAGTCTAACAGACCTGGATTCAAATCACAGATGCGCCTATCCCTTCTTGGTGGCCTTGGCCAGGTTACTTAACCTTCCTCTGTCTCTGTAAAGTGTGCATAATAATACCTGCTCACAGCATGGGCCTCCTGTGAGCCTTCAGTAATGACCAGGATAGCAAAACAACAAAGACAATAACAACAAAAAGCACATATTGACATACCAGTTGCTGTTTTACATGCTCTGTTTGCATGCTCATTCTCTAACCTGCCTGGTGGGGCCATGTGAGCTACTATTCCAAGCCATGCTTTAGGTATTATGTTACAGAGCCTCAGTAAATAAAACTATGCAGAAAATGCTTAGCATGATGTTCTTCAATTATTTCTACAATTAACATATATAACACATATAATCAGGGAACAATATTATAATACATTTAATAATGATAATAGCTCATATCATGTTTCAAGAACTTGAATAAATTCCCTCAGTTAACACTCATGACTACCCTAGTACGCAAAGAAGGCCACTGTCCCAATTAGTCCAGCCCCTAAGCAGCCTAGTTCTGGATACCGCTCTTAACTGGTTTGCTTTGTATCCAAGTGCATCCTAGTCCAGAAAAAAATGTTTGACTTGAGAAGAATTTATGGTGTACCTGTTGAAGTTTTAGAGAGCAGTGTAAACTATCCCTCTTTCCCCCTCCTGAGGTCTGAACCAACGGAGATAGATACCATAGTCAGAAAGCCAATGATCAAGATAACAGCTTCTCTGTGATTGGAGCTGAATGGGAAAATGTGGACTTGGTCTGTGTAGCACATGGGCTTCTTTACACATCTGCCCTGAACTAAGCTTACTCGACCAGACGCTGGCAGAGGCAGGCAGGTGCAGGGCTCATCCCCACCCCCAGAACCCCGGCAGGCTGCCTCTGGAGTGGCAGAAAAGGTGCATGACTTGTGGAAAACACACCTCTGGGGGGGGATGGGACAGGGTGGCTGGGCTGTACTGTGCCGGCTCAACTCTCCTCTCAGACAAATCACTCCTCTCAAAGGAGGAGTGGTAAAGGTGGTGAGAGAGGCAGATGTGTTTCTTCTCTCTTTTTCTTTTAGCAGAGTGGGCTAAAAGCCTCTTCCCCTTAATACAAACAGTAATCATAATAACACTACCATTTATTGAACACTTCACACGTGCCAGACATTGTACTTGAGATTTTTACCTACATCAAATTATTTAAAAATCCTAACAACTCTGTGAGGCAGACACTCATTCCCATCCTACAGGTGAAGACTCAGAGAGGGTAAATCACTTGCGTAAGGTCAAGCAGCCACTAAGTAAGAGTCCAGGTTAAACTCAGGTCTCCGAGGGTCCCACTCCTACATTCTTAACCAGCACTTCTTACTATTTGCAAAGTTTGGTGTCATTGGGAAAAAGGGGACATCAGAGAAATACTGAGACTCAACTACTATCCATAAGAAGCTTGTAGTCTGTATATTCCAGGAGTTGGCACACTTTTTCTGTAACGGGCCAGCTAGTAAATATTTCAGGCTTTGCGGGATATATGGTCTCTGTTGCAGCTACTCAGCACTACCTTTTTAGTGTGAAAGCAGCCACAGATAATATGTGAACAAATGAAGCTATGTTCCAATAAAACTTTATTTATAGAAATTGAAATTTGAATTCTATATAATTTTCACAAGTCACAAACTATTCAATTTTTTAACCATTTAAAAATGTGAAAGCCATTTTTAGTTTGTGAGTCATACAAAACCAGACAATGGGGCCAGGTTTGGCCATGGCTGTGGTTTGCCAACCTCCAGTGTAGACAGTGAGAGAAACCAGTAACACAAACAAGCCTGTTCCAAACGAGTTTATAGTTTCTACAAGAGGGGTGTAGACAAAGACTCAGAAAGGGCAGGGGTGGCAATTATTTATTTTGAAGATGATTAAAGGGAAAGCCTGAAAGAAACAAAACAGGAGACTAAGTCTTCCAGTAGGCTGGCTTGATTTCACAACTGTGTTTATTTCCCAAAGTAAGCAACAGTCTACCATTTCCCTTAAAAATTAAGTACTAAATGAGAGGTGGGAAAAGAAATCAATTTAGAGCAATAATAAGAAAGGCTAATGGTGGCTCGGGACTGTGTTACAGCAGCTTAATTAAGATGATTTATAACTGCACAGAAAGGCTCTTTTGTTTCCCTTGTTTATTGAGTAACAGCTCGCATCAGCCATTACTCCCTGTATAACCCATGGGAAATTACCTAATGGGTTCTGTTCAAGCAACATCATCAAACAAGCATGTGTTACTTTCCTGGCACCCTTCTTTGTGGGCTGCCCAAGATATTTTCCAGCTTAGAGTGGAAGGACATTGGCTAGGGGGTTCTAGAGGTTTGGTCCCCTACTGGTAATGACAGGATCCCTTCAGCTTTGGTCTCTATTGAGGCACCTTCCTCCCTCAGCCTCCCAGCCCTGGCTGAGAAAACAGGCTGCCACAGGCTGCTGCCTAGCAGCCAGCAAACAGAACCATTTCTGCTCCCTTCTGGAAGACATCCTGGTTTTGCCACAGCTGTCGGTAAACCTCCAGTGTAGAGCAACCTGGGTGGTTTAAAATAGAGTGCGGCAGGGGTATGAAAGCTCATTTATGGAAGAAGGATTATTTTTCTCTGGGAAACTAGTTTGACTTCAGGGCTGGAGATCTTGCGTCCATCTCTGACATCCTTGAAACAGGGAAAAGCCAGTATTTGGACTGTCATGTGGAACCTCCAAAGGATCCCCTCTCTTTTGGCCACTGGGGTGTGTAGAGGGTTGTGGAGTCAGGGCTAATGTCTGGAATCCCGCTCACAGCACCAATTGTAGCCCTCTTATCCTGTTTGTGATGCCAATTGTGTAGCTCCATGACCAGGCTAGTTGTTGGGCTCTTTTCCCTGCCAGTAATCCTGCTGACAGGGTCAATTATAAAGCTAGGGCTGGGTCTGGAGCTTCCAGACCCCTCAAGCCCATTCACAGACTGGGTCACAAACCCTTCATATGCCAGGTTGGGTCACCAGATCTCACACATGCCAGGCTGGGTCACCAGACCCCTTCACACAGGTCTATGAGCTAGGTAACCGGCCAAAAGGTCCTTGGAGCCATAGGGTGGAAAGCATGACCGCGCAGGCGTCCAAGGCAGACGCCCACCTGCCTACTTCACTAAAACTACTCTCTTCTGTCTCTGTCTCTCTCTCAAGAACACAAGAACAGCAAAAAAACTAAAAAGATACATTGGTGCACAGCGCACTAACTCTACACACACACACACACACACACACACACACACACACACAATTTGCTTACAAAGGATGTGCTAAAACCACAATCAGCTGGACCTGAGGTGAGGGACCAAACTATTCTATTTTCCAAACAAGGGTGATGACCAGGTCCTGCACTTAAACTCCTCCTGTTTGGACCCTGGCCAGAGGAGACTTGCCTGTTCCTCAATCCTTCCAGCCAGTTCTTCCCATTTCAGAATTAAGAATGAGAGTAACCCTGGGAAGTTTGACTTTTTAGCTTAGGGTTTGTCAAATTAACTTAAAAGTGTGTCTTTTGTAGAATATATCACAGCCAAAAATGGTCTTGAATTATCCTTAGATATTTATTTTTTTATAAATCTGTAGGCCAAAGGCATACAGAAATGGAAATAGTAAACAGAAGCCTGAAATCTAAAACTTGAGCATCCTGGGGAAGCTATAAATACAGTAGTTGAGAGCTTGACCTCTAGAATTAGACCCACCTGTGCAGCCTGTGGTAACATACTTATCTGTGCTGTAGGTGTCTCAGTCATAAAATAGGTTTCGGGTCAATTCCCCACAAGTTGACTTAAGCAAAATTACTTTGTAGGAAGACAAATTGGCCGTTTGTCCAAAAGCTGCCAGACAAATGGCTTAAACCAGATCTCAGGTAGCTGACAGGAGTGGTTTTGCTGCCAGAGGGAGATGCAGGTGCAAGGCTGGGGGAAGGCGAGGCCGGGAAGTGGGCAGTTCATGCCACTGGACTGGCCAGTGACATCGAGGAAAAGCTCCTCAGTCATTTGGTAAGTTAGTTGTTCAGCATATTGACCATGTAGTGAATGAATCTTTGATGAATTTGTCTCCTTTCAATAATAGTATCTTCATAATGGGGTTGTTAAAAGAATTTAATGAAATGATGTGCGTGAAGCAATTGGCAGATTGCCTGCCACAAAGAAAGTAAGAAAAGATTAATTTCCTACCTCACACACTCACCTTGGAGGCCCTGCTCTCTCCAATTGTTATCGGGATCTTTTGCTTCAATAAATACAAGTATTTGAGTAGTAATGTATTCTTGGTTTTATGCTAAAAAGAAAGCTGCCATTAATAAGATTGGTAATAAAAATATCCAAAACTTGAAAATAAGGCTGGGGTGAGGGGTCTGTGACCTATCAGTGTCACACTGGCATTTTGTTGAACAGTCCTGCCAAGGATTAACTCAGACAGGGGGCAGCATGCTTTTTCTGTGAAGGGCCAAGATCGAAAATATTTCTGGCTTTGCGCGTCTCTGTTGCAACCATTCAACACTGCTGTTGCAGCATGACAACAGCCATAGATAACATGTAAATGAATAGGTGTGGCTGTGTGCCAATAAAACTTTATTTACTATAACAGGTGGAAGCACATATTGGCCTCAGGCCAATATTTGCTGACCCCTGGGCTCTTGGAGAACGTGGCTGTGTTTAACTTTGCAAACTTTATTGTTTGATTCAAGCCTACATACTGTGAAGTCATATGCTAACTTGTAGATTTTTGACTGGTAGAGAAGATGACCTCAAAGGTTATAGTTTTACTGCCCTGTAGGATATAACCAGTTTTGTCTCTAACCTAGCAATCTGATTTTAATATAGTTCTAACATGCCTCTGAATACCCAGTTTCTTAACTGCTCTTGGGACTATCCTTACTATCTCACTGGTTCCCTCAGAATTGAGTTAAATACATTTTTGACATGTGTTCATTCTACATTTGTAAGAGTAGAGGTTTTAAACTTTATAAATTACACTTTGACAGGCTCATTAATTAGAATGCCATTTATAGCTCTGTTTTAGAATAATAACAACTGTCGTTGAGTGACATGCTGGATATAACATTTAGTACTTACATACTTTAAATGCATTTATCCATATAGTATACCTATAAAGTGGGTATTGTTATGCCCATTTTGTAGATGAGAAAGCTGAAGCACAGAGAAGTTAAATAGCTATTAATTGGTAGAACTTACATTAACCAAGCTTTTTCCTCCCTCCACAGCCAAACAATAGAGCTTAATCTGCCTTTTTTGGAAGATAAAACACCATTGACTGAAGTACAACTCTGTTTAACAGGAACTTTCAATTTTAATTTCCTGATCATAATCCAATTTCCAAGATCTAACATATGATTACAAAAGATATTTACAACCAGACATGTACTCCCTCATGAGTAATAAAATTATGCTGCACTTTTTTTTTTTATATTGACAGGTTTAAACGTATTTATAACTTTCCTCTCAGCTGTATACGTATACTGTTTATCATGCTTATTACTTTCAGGTGACTTGAAAGATGGTAAAAATAAGACAGACAAGAAGGATCACTCCAATGTCGGAAATGACTCAAAGAAAACAGATGGTAAGAGTATCACTCCCATTACATTTTTTCATAAAACGTGCAATTTAATGCAAGCTTGTAAGAATCATACCTAAAATCGAAAGAGTGGTTGTTAACATGTTCTTCTATTATACCCTGAAAAAACACTTCACTACATTTAAAGAATAGGAGTATCTCTTTCAATAATTTACAAATTATTGTATCTCCTTCTCTCTACCATAGTTTCTCCATCACAAATGCTTTCTACACTCTTTCTTCTCCCACTTGCTATTTTTTCATCTTAAACTTCATAAAAAGTTGGTTCTGGGCTTGCTGATTGTAACAGAATGGAATAACACATACTGCTGACGTACTTTGAGTTTTTGATTGTGAATTGTGCAGCATAAATAGGAAACATTCCATGTTTTCAGTCTTTACATTTTTTGCCTTGAATTGGTTAATACTTTTGGTAAAAACAAAAACAAAAACAGGAATTTGGTTTGGGAGGCAACATGTAGGATTGTAGAATACAGTTTGAACAGCAAGAACAAGTCCTAAAGACGAAGACAATCAAAATGAGTTAGAATGAAGTTGCATTGTAATGTGCCTCAAGATCACTGCTTTTGCCTTTCATAAACAGCACTCGGCTCTTCCTCAAATCTGAAAGGTCAAGTTATATTACCATCCACACTTTGAACCATTCGATTGAAAAACCTATCCCAGCCTTTACATAAACCTCGTTGTTTCAGTTGCAACATGGGCTCATTTCTAGATATTCCCTTGTACATTGACGTGGTATTGAGCTAAAAATGAAAGTTTGGTTTTTGTTAGAATCTCATTCTAGTTAGAATACCTTTGAAAAGCAAATGCTGCTAATGAGGTTGAGGAGTAAGAAGACATTTGCACATAACTCTTTACACATCTTTGAAAAGCAAGCAGTCCCTTTAGCTTTCAGTCCTAAGCCACTATATGTGTTCTCTTTGCTTCCATGCTCGAAATTAGTTCTCAAACCTTTTCTTTTAAATAATTCACTTCAGGTGTCTTATCGCATAATACCTAGGGAACACACACCTGCAATCTTTCACCAACTTGCTTATGCAAATGGAAACCACTTACCTAATGAGTGTACACGTACCCTCCTTAAATAATTTTGACTAAGAAGTGAAATACACAGAGATAAAATAGAATTTAAAATGACAGTCTCCCAGCCAGACTCTGTTATGAGTAAGGGTTGTTCAAATACCAGAGGCTCTTTGCCAGACATCATCAGACCCAAATCAAGGCAACCACAGCCAGAAAATGTACAGTGGAGGAATGATGTCAGTTATGAACCCAGCACATGGACACTTGTCCCATCATGCATCCAGGGACTGGCCCATTGCTCTCTGATCTGAATTCCTAGAGCAGAAAAGCCCAGGATACATCAGGTTCCAAATCTTCAATATGGGAGACTTCAAGTCAAGATGGTGGAATAGACAGTCCCAGTGTCACTCTCTCCCACAAATCAATCAATTTACAACTATAAAAAAGCAATGACAGCCAAGCTGGGGCTGCTAGAGCTTAGGGGAAGAGGAGGAGAGACCTATGGAGTTCAAGAAGGCAGGAGAAGCCACGATGAGAGGAAGAAAGAACTGCTCCAACTATTTTGAACCCCAGCTGCTTCCAGTCTGGAGCTGCTGAGTGCATGGAGCAGGAGCTGGCAAAAGCTGCAGCTGTGCCTTTTGGATGAAGTTGCTTGGAGGTAGCAGGGGAGAAGAGGACCTTGTTGGCTCCCGGGCCAGCAAGACCACTAACAGGGTTCCTATGGACCACATAGGAGCAAAGGGCCACAACAACAGAAAAAAGAGCCCCTCAGAGGCCAGTGAGTCATTGCAAGGGACTGATGCATGGCCTGTCCTATGGGAAGTGTTTGGAGCATGGGAGGTGTATTAGTCCATTTTGTGTTGCTATAACAGACGTACCTGAGACTGGGTAATTTATAAGGAAAGAGGTTTATTTGGCTTATGATTCTGGGACAACTGCATCTGGCACGGGCCTCAGGCTGCTTCTATTCATGGTAGAAAGTGGCAGGCAGCCAGCAGGTACAAACAGGTCACATGGTGAGAAGAAGCAAGAGAGAGAGAGAGGAGGTGCCAGAGTCTTTTTAAACAACCAGCTCTTGCAGGAACTAATAGAGCGAGAACTCACTCATTAATCCCCCCTCCCCTAGGGAGAGCATTAATCCATTCATGAGGGATATACCCCCATGACCCAAACTGCCACATTGGAGATTAGATTTCCATGAGTTCTGGGAGGACAGTATATCCAAACTTCATCATGAGGTGGGGGAGACAGGCCCACTGGGGGAACACTGGGGCACAGCAATGACAGCTAATCTGCACCCCAATCAACATAGGATCACTCAGAGGAGACTGGTCAGGAATATAGAATTGCAGGGGGAGCAGTTTGATGAAAAGACTCAGGCCCAGACCAGTTTCTACACAACCCAGGTGCACTGGATTTCTCTAGACCTAGAAGTACCTATAAAGTCAACCATTAAAACCTGAGCTGCACAAAAAGCCTTCCCTAGGGAATGAGCAGCAAAACAGCAATTTAGCTCAACCATACAGCTTGAGAACTGGTCCCCACAGGAAGTTGCCCCATGTTAGAAATAAGCAAAGGACAACAAATTAGTTTCAGGGCAGAGTTTAAGCAGTGGGAACAGCAAATAATCCCACACAGAACTGAAAGAAAAGACAAAGTGCCCACAACCAGATATAAAGTTTGATATTAACTAGTAAAGGTCTTATTTCACCAAAAAACACCTATAACACCTGGAAGGACTGGAAGTCCCATGGGCTACCAACCCAGAAAGAGGGGAGGGCCAGGGGCCTCAGCAATGCCCCCCGCCACCCACAACCATTCCTGAGGGTGGGGGCCAAGGGCCTTAGCCACACACCCCCAACACGCACAACCACCCCAGCGATGACCACTGAGCCACTGCAGGAAGCATCCCAGGCTGTCCTGTACCAGGGCGGTGGGAGGCCTCAGGCCTCAGTCATGCCCCCCCAACATGAGCAACCAGCCCAGCAGCGACCACCAAGGCACAGCAAGAAGGGCCCCGGGTTCCTGAGCTGGTGTGGTGGGGGGTGAGGGCTTTTGCCACACCCCTTGACATCTGCACCCAGCCCGGCAATGACAAAGCCACCCCTGGAAGCCCCCGGTCTCCCCTGTGAGAATGAGGGAGGTACACAGGCCTCAATCCTGCTTCTCCTTCCTCCTTCTTCTTCCGTCCCATTTCCCTCCACTTTACCCTTCCCCCTCCCTCCCAACAGCTCCACAACAACATCCTAGAATGTAAAAAAATATTAATTAAAAGAAAATTTTTTTAAATATGGAATCTTGAATCTTGTTGTATTTTCGTATTATGCTACAAATATCTACTATAATGTCATGTGGACATTGTATATTACATTTTGTCACCTTCGTAAAGCCCTTTTATTTTATGTATGCTTTTTAACTGAATTATTCCCCAGTATTTAAAATAATTAAATAGTTTCTTGGAGGGGAGGAATGGAATAGATTCTGGGTTCCTTTGTACAAATAAATGTAAAATTTGGTTGCTTAATGAACAGAATTTTCTATCTCCTGGAGCAACGAGCAGGCTGCAGTAAATTAAGGAGAGACATTCTCTGATATCTGTCTCTTTTTCCCTGCACAACCCCAACCTTCCGCTGCTTCCAGTGGCACCTGGTGTGTTCATATACTTGCAAGTTTGTACACACACATAAGCATAAACAACTTTGTATTTTAATTTCACTGATGGACTAACATGACATCAGTCATCATCACTGCTTTGGTATCAACAGGACTTAGAGCACTGAGCTTCAACAATTCGTACTATTTTAGTCCAAAACCTTTACCAGGACTGAAGCTAATTCTTGTTAGCATGAGTGGAAAAGAATTTAAGTTTCACCTATCTCTTCCTTTTTGGTACTTAAAACACTCTACTTTAGAAAATTAAAAAGAGGGAATATGTAGATCAATAGATATATTGATTTTTAAAAAAAACTATAGAAATAATCAGATGAACTTTGAACATTTCTTTTTAGTGGATCCTATTATGTCTGATAACTAGGGGGAGTCAATTTAACTATTTTTAATGCCCCACCCCCAATCCTGGGAACCATTAGTGACTAGTTCTCTATAATTTTTGGGAGGGAGTATCCAGGTACAATTCATTCCCAGTGTGATCTAACCCACTATGGTTTATAGTTGTAACATTCTAAACATTCAGAGAGAAACCCAATGGAAACTGGACCACAGGTGGTTATTCCCAAACTCCTGTGAACAAGGACATGCACAGAGGGAAGTCGTGTGTGCTGAAAGGGTAAATTACATCTCGGCATAACGAACACACTGCAGTTGTACATTATCTCTGTCAGGCTACCGAGGTACTATTTAGTACCCTGCAGCACTAATTTTTAACTGACTTTAAAGAATGGATGTCCTTTGAAAGTACCTTGCTTACCCCTAGGGAGAAATGTACTAACATAAAAAGGTCTACGTCTGTGAGCCAAGATTCTCTTGGTGCCTAAATTTTTCCACTGTCATTGGGAGTCTTGTGGGGTACAACACAAATAAATATTTTTCATTTCTATCCATGTTTATAATAGTGTTCCTGTTGGGCCTGCCATAATTTATAAAGTTGCCCAGAAATACAAATTGCCCTTAACTTTACTTGACCACATTAACAGAGATAAAGGAGATAGCCACCTTCTGTGTCTCTCAGTAGATTGATTATAATTAGGCCCTGCATGGTTGTCTGCCAGTCCTGGGGAGGGAGTTCAGCAGTTTCTCCTTCTGGGCATTGGAATGTTTCTAAATGTTGGTTCACGAAATTTAAAAGTCAGCTGTGAGTAGTGGCAAGGGTGGACAAAGACAATCTAAGGATGTCCACTGCTGCCAAAGAGAAGTAACAGGAACTAGATGTACCCTTCCACCTGCAACAACCAAACAAGCCCCAGACAACACATGGGAAAGAATGGTGTCCAAAACACTGG